TATTTCTAATTCATATGTTACACAAAAACTTATAGCTTTCCAGTAGCACCTTCACAAGCCTGTGTAACATGGCAAGAATTAGCATAATTATTAAGAAAGATGATAAAGTATTATGTCAAATAAGTTTTAGCAACACTGAAATAAGGGTGGGTATATCAAGTTTAGAATCAAGCCAATGACAAAGCAAGATTTGAGAAGCAGAAGAATGGTAATGTTGGATTGATATTATTACTACAAAAAGCTTTAGATCTTAAATGTAAACAGAAAAAACAATAAGCAAAGCGAAAAATTTTAAGGCGGCAGTTTAACAGTGAAACAAGCAAAATTTAATAAGAGCAGTAAATGAAGAAGAATTTGACCTTATACTTTCTTTATGTTTTGTTGTTTGATGTAGGTAATATTGTTAGGCGGTTAGCCCTGTCAAAGGTTCGATTGCACTCTAAGATTGTTGGTGTTAGAGGGTACCAGCGTAAAATAAGTAGAATAAGATATTAGTGTATTGTTGACTCGTAGAAGCAGACATGATCTTTTTCTGTTACAAAGCATCTTCATCCCTAAATGACAATACTCTCCATGTAGGAATACATAAATTATCAACATTGCCATGATATGAATTTCAACCAAAAAGATGACAGCAGCCTCAAGAAGGCTATATTTAGTCATTTGAAGAACTATCAAGCTTTACTTTGTTATCAGTGAGCAGAGTCTATACAATCAGGAATTAGGAAGTATCCAATCCCAGGAAAAAATATCTGTTTTGTTAACTCTGATTAAAGAATAAGTTATTAACTTGTACGTAGATGCCAAAAGGCTTTGTTCTAAAGAGGGAAAGACTAAATAGAAGTATAGCTAGTGAAATGAAATATCAATCGTTAAGAAAACCTTATGAATGAATGTCAGTGAATATTATATAGTTGTATATTACATAGGCAGAGGAGCATCTTCATTAGTACAAAAAAATGCATATAAATCCTGGAGTTTGTACTTATCGTTCTCATGATCTAAGTTATAGTAAAAAGTTATTTTATGAGAACTACATTGAGTTTTAATTGTTACAAGTTACAAATATTTCACTTTTGGATAACTCATCTTGAACATATAACTTTCAAACTTTTTATTAAGTTATGACTTGAAAGAAACAGAATAAATGGCAAAACCTATCACCCGAGTTTACAGATAATTGATTGGTACTAAATTTAGCATGAGATCAAACTTAAGAGGTGAACTCCAAAGTTGCAGGTAAAGAGAGGTAGAAGTCTAGATATTGAGAGATGTATCCACACAGCAAATACGATAGCAGAATACTATTTTTTTCTTCTTTTTTTAATTATTTTTTTCTCAGTTTTTCGTTTTGTTTCAATGAGATGAGTCTAGTAAAGTAACAGAAGATATACCTGTAAAAGCAATTTCCATCAAAGCTCCTCTAGTTTTGCATTGTTTGATATCTCGAACATGGCGCACATAGTGACAACGACAACACTTCTGTGTCAGAAACTTCAGAAGTTAGCATGGCATACGCGACAACCTAAATTTTTTCTCAGAAGGAGCGACGATGGCAACACACAGAAAGAATAGAGGAAAAATGTGTTATGATGGACCTGCGCTGGAGTATTTATAGAGGCTCATACTATGTAACCCTTTCACGCATCCAGCTGCATATTTTATTGATGGGATCCAGCGTGCCCGTCCTAGAAGTGTGTGAACAAGTCCGAACTCGCGTATTTCAAATTTGATACTATAGATCAAGTGTTTCGTTAGCTTCCTGTAGGTTAACGTGAGTATGAAATAGTATTCATTTAGGTCATACAAACCCACCAAATTCTATAGAAATTAAGGGAAGTAAATAGATATTTTGTCCCAAAATGCTAAAGTACCTTCTATTTGGCGGCAAGTCTAACAGTAGTTCTGATAGTTCTGTCGTACGCAGCTAAAAAATTGAGCATTTTTGCCTTCTTTCTTTCAGGAGCTAAAGCATCCTGAAAAGGAATTTGTATTATACTGTATCAAAATCCCAATAAATCTAACTTCCTGCACTAAAATTCTTGTGCTTTTGAAGAAGCGGAATTTTTCCTCTTGGAAGTAGCTGAGAAAGGTGTAAAATACAATGGTTATTAAATCAAACAGCTACCCTATCTTCTAGGTATTAATCTGAAAAGTTTTACTATCCACAATAAGTGTTTTGCAGTTAGCTTTAGCAAAGGAACTGGTGGCTTTTCTTCAGCTGGTTGAGGATGCCATTCGAGAAGTACCTGACCTTTTTCAACAACTTCATGGATGTAAGGATACATGTTTATAACAGTCCTTAAATGGAAATCTTCACCAGTTTTGGAAGCATTTAGCATGTTCTTACAGTTGGCAAGAAGTATAAGAATCGTAAGTTCCAACTAATTATAAGAAAAACGTTAAACATTTTGTTACCAATTCAGTAAATGCAAACTATTATAACTGGTAAGCGGCTCGATACCTGGCCATAGTCAGACACAATCAAGGAATTCCCTTGTGCAGCTATAAAAGCTAGATGAATATTGTACCTATTTTTCTCCTGAGCAAGCTGGTTCTGTATTGCAAGAAGATAACTTTTGAAATAACATTCCAGTTGAGACTGATGAGTAATTTGGTGCTCATAAAAAAAAATGCATGTCTGAGGTCTAACTTAGGTGACGACAGATGAACATAGAAGTTTTTACTTGATATCACTTGAGCCATGAAATATAAAGAGAAAAGCTGTACTCAAAAACTGAACAAAGCAAAAAAGGCAAGAATGCAATGACATCGATAATAGAGAATTCATTAATCAGGTGATGCAAAAGAAACAAAAGACGAAGAGAAAGATGAAAACATGAAATATACATAAGTGACAATTATACCTGCGACAGATATGGAAATACAAGAAAGTGCAGATTATAGTGGTTTTAGCTCCTTGAATCAAGTGTTTAATTACACTGCGTTGTGTATCCTTTTTACGTTATTGTTTGTGCTTCGGCACATCATCCAATGTATACCGCAGAGCACCTGTAACTGCAGAAAAATGATGTTGAATAGAAATATATCGAAACTTATAAGCAGTGAGTTATTACATTACATACCAAGTCTTTGGAAGCCTATATGCATGTAAGATATTCCTCTTTGCTCGAATACAACACATATTTACTCCCTTTGGATCCTGCAATTGTCAGTGAAGAGGAGACCTTAAAGTTAAATGAGATCAAATGATGCAAAAAAGAATAATATCAGAGCAACAATGAGAAAGATGATATCACCAAAAGAAAAGGGGAGACAGTGTAGAGAAATATGGAGAAATGTTATAGGAAAAAGTTTGATTAGTCGTTATTCCTAGTTCAATAGTCGATCATCTGTTAGAAACTAAAACTTCATCATAAGAACAAAATAGTGAAAGCTCATAATGCGCACTTATGACCAAATATAGGATAATAAGGTAAAAGAATAACAAATAACTTATGAAATCACCTGACAGCAGAAGCATTACCCCGTTGCTTTCTGAATAATCTTGTCATAAACTATGTTGCAGGTAGAATGATCATCATGGCTAGTTGGTGTAGGTGGTCGAATCAACAATTTCAAATAGGCTGAACTTTTTGCTCTTGATAAGGCAACATAAAGTTGACCATGTGAAAATACAGGTTCCCGCAAATAAATTCCAACGAAATCCAAAGTTTGACCTTGTGCTTTATTTATGGTCATAGCAAAGCATAATCTAATTGGAAATTGTGTTCTTTTAAATGGAACATGCATCTTTTCATCTTGTGATGATAATAATGGTATTCTTGGTATAAATACATGTGTATTTTTGAAATCACCTGTAGTTATCTTAGCACTTATAATATGTGTTTTAAAATCGCAGCAGGTTAATCGTGTGCCATTGCATAAACCTTCATAAGGATTTAAATTTCGTAATAGCATAATCGGGCAATTTTCTTTCAAAGATAATTTATAAGGAGGCAAGCTAGGTGGATTAAACTGTGCAATAAATCTTCAAATTGTGTTTGATTATTTAGTTCAGTAGTCTCATCAATGCCGATAAATGTTCTTACTTCTCCGGGGAATTGATCAATAAGCATGTCATTTATTTCATTGACAAAATCATTTTTTGTTGTCAAAATTACACGGGAATCTGTACAGAATGAATTAGAGTTGAAGCAATTCAAACTTGGATATGTCTCTCTGAATAATTTATGTAAAGATTCACGTTCGGTTGTAAAAGGAATGACTAAAGAATCCGGAAATTTAATCATGTTTGTTGAGCTAGCTTGTTCTTGTCCATTTCCAATACTCATCAAGTAAGACAAAATGCAGGATCTGTTTTAGCTCTCATGTTCTCTGAGAGGTGTAATTTTTCAAGTTCATTCCAGATACTAGAATATAACAAACTTTCATTAATGAAATCTTCCTTCTTTCCATTTCTGACAACGGGAAGAGTTTGTCTAAAATCACCCCCTAAAACGACAACTTTTCCACCAAATAAAATATTTGTATTTGTGAGATCTTGTAAAAGCAAATCAAAGACTTCCAACATTCGTTTATTTGCCATAGATACTTCATCCCACACAATCAACTTTGCATCTCGAATTAGACTTGCAAGTGAACTTTGTTTACTAAAGTTACAGGTACTATTTTCATCAATATCAATGGGAATTTTAAAGCGAGAATGTGCAGTGCGTCCACCCGGGAGAGTAGAAGCAGCGACACCAGAGGTAGCTGTGGCCAAAGCTATGTATCCCATGGACCGTAGAGTTGCTAGTAAAGCACGATATAAAAAAGTTTTTCCAGTTCCTCCAGGACCATCGATAAAAAATGCGCCGGCTTTATTTGAAAATACTCTATCAATAATCATGTTATATGCTATCAGCTGATCTTTGTTTAATCTCGTATGCAACAACACGTCATCTTCACGGACAATAATAGATCTTTCAAAATGAACCTCTTTTGCTTCATTTGCTGCTGTAGAAGGCTTGATAGTTTCTGGGATGAGTTCATACTCATTTATATCATGACCCATAAAATATAAAATATCGTTGATATTATTCAGAGCTTGATATCGAATTTCTCTTCTTTCTATATTTTGTAACACTTTATAGTCTTCGATCATTGACTCTTCAAATTGCTCCCATAATTTTCTTGGATTAGTAGGATTACAATATACTAATAAAGTAGCAAACAAACGCCTTAAACTATATGGCATTTGATAATTTGCAGCTTCAGACATGCATTCTATCAAACTGTTATCACAGTGTAACAATCCTCTTTTTTCCACGGAATCTCTAAAAGTACTACAAGGTTCCCCATTTACTGTCAAAAGATCCTTATAAGATGTAGGTCCTCGCACATGCAATAGTAGTAACCTTAGATAATATCGTTCTCCTTCTGTTGTGACACGTTACAATGCGACCAATAGCAGAACGTTGTTTTCGACGTGCCCAAAATTTATCAGTAGAGGACCACACAAAGTATTCAGAAAATTCTTTGTACAATAAATTGAGCTCTTTAGCATCTTCATCAGTTTCGTTCATGTAGAAGAATTCTGTTAACATTGTTTTTTTTATCATTGGATTATTCACAATCGTATTTATATCAATATTGCTTTTAAAAGAAACAAATTGCTGGCCTTCAAGATGTAGTTGAAGACGATAGACATTCGGCGACATTTCACTAATAGGAAAACCAAAGAGACGCCATATAGCTTCTGGAGGTGATACCCATCTAGCAGACTGATACTCTTTGACTTCATCTATCTCTATATTTGTATCATTATTCTGTACAGAAAATGCTATTTTGTCATGTCCTTTACAAATGTATTTGTAAAGATATTTCATGACTTTGATGTTTGAACAAACTTCGATATTTATGTGACAGTTAAATTTTCCAAGTAAATATGGATTGTACGGAACAACCCAAGAGTTGTCTAAATATTTTTTTCTCACTTGTACAACTTCTCCTGTATTCCGTCTTCTATAACTTGGATAAGAATCATTTCCTTTTAATGTTTGATCAGCAAAATCTTTTGGATATTTGAACTTACAACAACCCTTTTTGTTCATACAAGAATTTGTCAGATCTAAATTACCACAAGGACCGTGCATCATATGCTTAAGAACAAGTTTACGCAAATTTGGTTCTGCATTATCGTCTGGTAATTCTGCTTTAATTATATCATCGTATGCCTCAGCAGTCAACAATTTATGCTCATTACTTAATATAATAAGAAAATGAGCATGGGGTAAACCTCGTTTCTAAAACTCAACAGTGTACATAAAAGCGGTAACTTTCCCAAAGATATTTCTCTTTAATATATCCGTCTTCGACTCTTCTATTTTGGCTCTGAACACCCGGCTAATCAAATCAGGTCTATTTTGCGCCTCATCACTTGATGATAAATGTTCCTCTATTTCCATCCAAGATGGATTGCATGTCATAGTTATAAACAAATCAGGTTTCCCAAAAGATTGTACTAATGCAATAGCATCCATATATCGTTGGCGCATATCTCTAGGGCCTCCTACAAAGGAATTAGGCAAAAATGTTTGTTTTCCAACGTTAGAAGCATCTCGTTCACCAAGTCTTAAAATGTCGAGAAGTCCTTGCAACATACTCATTCTAAACAAATCTTGATTGAATGTAACAAAATCCAATCTTTGAGTCTCCAATTTTATATATTCATCAACTGAATACTGCTGAAATAGTCTTCCTGTATGTAGAATTTCATCTTCATCATCATTTCTCATTTGGAGTTTGTAACAATAGTATTCACGAACCGAAACTGCATCTCTTTTGCGTTTTCCTTTTTGTAGATTTTGAGCTTCCATATCGAGATATCCATCAACGGAGGTAAAATTCTTTACATTCGGCAAGTGTTCAAATTCAAATAAAGTATGATCTCTAGGAAAATTTTTTGCCCCGTGAAACTTCTTAATACCACAGTGCCACCCACCTTGACCATGTGGAAATAACAATGGATATTGTAAAGGATCATAGCATCCAAAATAATAGTTTACTCTGTGTGTTTTGTCGCTTTGAGTATAAATTTGAACATGCGGTGCATGAGTAGCACGACTATCATTTTCATCAACCCATATTGCAGCAATCTCAGTCGTAGTAGGCAGATTGTATACACGTTGATCCAATCCCGCATCACATTTTAATGTTATATGAAAGTTTTGCAAATTTGGAATGTCTGTTAAAGATCGAAGAAATATAGAGTAGGGATTATCTTTTAGTATGTCCATCAAGTCCTTGACTATCGATTCGTTTATTTTATCGGAGCAAGCCATTCTATTTCCAACCTCATTTGCATTATCATAAAAGTACAATTGCAAATTTCTCGGCCTTTTTTCTCTGGGATATAAATCATCTATCAGATGATACATCTGCCCTTGAACTCTGAACGTGTAGATACCACGGTTTCTTTTGGCTAAATCTTTATCATAACTGACACCAAATGAAGTAAATGCAAATAGATTGTTATATGTTCTAATGTACGTTTGAAAGTGCTTGCTTTCTGCGTCATTTCCTAGATATAAATTTCTCAACCTAACTGGCATTCGGTGAGTGCTTAACTTGACTGTACCATTATTACAACAAAATCCAGGTGATTCATACTGAAATTTTTTTGCATAGCAGAATGTACAGTGTGGAACTTTCTTTAATGGAACATATTCTGAGCGTAGTCGATTAAGATTAGTCATACTTTTCTTATTCTCTATACGACCTGCATGTTGGAAGCAACTCTAAGCGCCACAAACAGAAGAAATGGTAAACACTGACATTGAAGTGTGATGTTTATACTAACCGTTAGTTATGATTGTTCCAAAGGTTGGAGTACGTGATTCATTTGCGGTACCCGAAGTTGAACCTGGTTCAACATAGTTGTTGAATATGTATATGCTTAAGAAGCACAGAAACATAAATTGACATATCTTTGTGTGCCTACCTTTTTCAAAAACATGAAAAGGATCAAGCAGATCTTTTCCTTTGTCAGAGACATCCAATGAAGGAATAGTTGATCGCTCTGTAACTGCATAGTGAGAATTAATGGTCATATACACTGAGATGAGACATCTACAATTATTGTGTATGTATAAACTGCAAAAACAAAGGAAGAAATAGCAGATTTGATGCTTCAACCTGTTTCTGAAGTAGAACAAGAGACTCCGACCGTAAAATCATCCTGGATTTGAAATATTGATTTAATGGGATTGACATGATTTATATTTGCAAGAAGGCGATTGGTTGCTGCTTGTCGATATTTGAGGCGGCGTTGCAACAACCTTTTTTCCTTTTGAGTCATTGTTACACAATCATCTATTTTACGGTGTTTGGTATTTTTATCATCAGCTTCGTTCGTTGAGCGAGAACTACTTTTTGATTGTCGATGATCCATTAATGTAAATTTTTTGAAGCGTCGGTACTCCTAGCGGCCTACACGTAATTGTCAAAGATTGTAATTATATTATTTCAGCAAATAACAACAGATACTGACGAAGGAACAATAAAATGTAACAAGCAGAAACATCAAAATTATTTCACATTATTTGTTCCCTGTACACATGTGTGATTTTGGAGATTACCATTCCGAAACAGCCAGCACAGCATATCTACACAACCAATATCTCTAAAGGAACTCATATCAGACAAAACTAAAATAGGATATGGCAATCAAACAATAACAAAGCCTAAAAATGAGACATCAACATATNAGGCCAATTTCGAAATTTTACAGCGCCACTATGAGGATTTAGGACACGTGCTGCCCCTTAGCTCTAGCTTTTGCCGCGTGTTTACACCATCGACTCCAGCTGTTCTTTCTCACGCAAGTCTCATCTTACCATCTTTACCACCGACTACCTCTGCTCTTTGGGGAAAACTTCAAATTCCTCCTGCTTTGGTCCATCTCTTTTCCTTTTCTTTCTCGCTGTTAGGGTTTGCTGTGTCAGTCTGCTGGGCTATCCGGTTAGTTTACTTGTGAGCTTCTCTTCTTTATTTTGATTTTCTCACCTTCTGTTATTTTCAAATTCTTTATTTTATCCTTCGTTCTAATGGATTATAACTGTATAATTTGAGTAAATTTTCCTACTATTAATAATCTTCATATGCTTCACCGTTGCCAGATTTAAATTTTGTGATATGAGTTTAAAACGGTCGGCCGATGTGAAATTCAATATTAAATATCAATATTTAAGTAGCGGTTACAACTTAGATAAGAGTTTTGTCTTTCTCCTACATCGGTGTATCGATTTACTCCTCTACTAATAAACTGAATTAGTACTTCTTAAACTGAGTAAAGTAGTTGCTAGAGCACATGGCTGGTGCAAATAGATTGAAAAAAAGAGGTGAATTTAAGATTCAGAAATTTGGGGCGGCACAGATACATAGTCACATATGGTCTGAAGATATATAAATCCTGGTTTTTTCGGCTTATATTTGGCACATTTGGTTGTTAATATATGATCATTAATCGAATCGGTTGTCTTTAAGAGACACTTGTATAATTTGGTTTTGATTATGATATCAATGTGTTATAATCCATTAGAACGAACGATAAAATAAAGAATTTGAAAATAACAGAAGGTGAGAAAATCAAAATAAAGAAGAGAAGCTCACAAGTAAACTAACCGGATAGCCCAGCAGACTGACACAACAAACCCTAACAGCGAGAAAGAAAAGGAAAAGAGATGGACCAAAGCAGGAGGAATTTGAAGTTTTCCCCAAAGAGCAGAGGTAGTCGGTGGTAAAGATGGTAAGATGAGACTTGCGTGAGAAAGAACAGCTGGAGTCGATGGTGTAAACACGCGGCAAAAGCTAGAGCTAAGGGGCAGCACGTGTCCAAAATCCTCATAGTGGCGCTGTAAAATTTCGAAATTGGCCTTCAGTGGTCAAGCAAGTACCTGAATCTCCTCAAAGTTCCTACTCAGTGGGCAAGCAAGTACCTGAAGCTCCTCAAAGTGTGGCTTATTAATAGTAGGAATAGGAAAGTACTCCTTCAACATGTTGTCTAAGTCTTTTTTTTATTTTTTATCTAAAGAACTTTTTATATGTATGGACAACATTAATGATATCTTTTAGACACTAAATTGTATTAGTAAAATTTTCAATTATAGGGATTATATTGCTATATTTACAAGTTAAATATCAGTTTTTTATTGTTCCGATTTTTTTTACATTAGAGGTCAAATAAAAAGTTGAGCTCGAGTCAATCTAAAATAGCAATTATGATAATATTCTTGTTGTCTGCTCTTATGTATAAGAAATAATCCAAACCAATTTCAGTTTTATGGTATTTAATCTTATTTTGATTTTATTAGTTTTAAATATAAATCTTACAATAATCGCTTGGCAATAAGTGCGAGGCACGTATACTAAAACTAATTTATTATAAAAGCATAATGTTGAAAGACTAAACGTTGAACGATCAAAATATCTACTAAAAATTGATTGACCTTTTTACCCTTTTAAATTAAAATTTTCTCCATCTGGCAACTTAATAATGGGTATGAATGTAATTTTTGTATTAGGACTAAACAAAATATCTTTCTATTGGGATTGAACTTCTCTTTTTCTAAACAAAACCTAAATAAAAGTTTTTCATGAAAAACTTCGAATTCCTCGTGAAGAACTTCAAATTCATTTAGATTCTGATTCATGACATAAGTACTTATCGGAAACAATGTTTTAAATGTATAATTGAGACAACGAGAAACTTTTAATTACAAAACAAGAGGAGTCATTGTTCTATCATAAAAGATGTTTGTTTATTTGTTTTTCTGATGGAATTAAATTAAATATCTGAACCTAAACTGTTTAAAAGAAAAAATCAAATTACTGATAATGGCTTATGAGTCTTGGATAAATACCACGTGGCCTTGAGTGATGCTGATTCCTTTCGTTTTTTTAGATAGAATCATGAGATGCAAATTTTCTATTTTTTTAGTGATTTAGAATAGAATAAGTAATAAAAAAAAAGAATATTCATTCATTAATTAAAAAGTCAAAAAACCATAGAAGATGGGTGAATAAAATCGTAAAAATTGTGCGGGGTGTCCTATTTGGTCACCCCCATTTAACCTATACCCAAATATTTAAAATTATTTAACACATACCTTAATTTTGACAACTTCAGACTCCTCTTCTTCCTCCTTACCTATGCGCTCCTTTCTTCCTCCTCTTCTTTTCCTTATGAGGCTGAGAGTAGTTCATTTTAGGATCTGACCAAACCCATTATTTTTTTCCCCCTTTTCAAAGAGGCTGTGCTTTTGAGATAAATAGTGTAAAAGGATTGCCAGTGATTTTGAGATGACCATTCCTTGAATTCTATTTTTGTTGCTTGCATTACCTATTGTTTCTAGCCGTATAAGGGGAGTTCTCTAGAAATTCCCTCTCCAAATTCCAGGTTATATTATATATTGCTGGGGAAAAAGTTGAAAATCTCAAAACATCACTGATGTGGAAATTTGCACTACAAATTGTCTGAAATTTGCACTATCTGAAGTTCAAATATAACAAGTTGGTTTTGTCCTGAAGTTTGCACAATGAAATGAAGTTTTCCCGATTAACTTTGCAAGTTAAGCCAATTTCAGGTGAAATATTTTGAAGTTTTGTTTTAATAATGCCACACTTCAGACAAAAAAATTCCCAAGTGAACTGAAGTTTGCCCTTGCTATAATTGAAGTTTGCATGATTGCCCTAGCAAGTCAGACCAAACCTAAGGTAAAAATATCTGAAGTTTTGCTTTGATAAGGCTACACTTTAGGCAAAAAAGTTTGAAGTTCAAATTTCAGACAAAAATTTTGCTATTACAGATCTGTATATCTAAAGTTACCCGAAAAGTAAGTACACTTATAATTTTTTGTACAAAGCGACTATAAGTTAAATAGTGACCCAAAAACTTGTATAGATCAAATGCCCCAATAAATTCACTTTTCTACTATTTGTATAAGAAAAGTCATTAGTCTTTTGTATTTCACTCAAAATATCAATTTTCATTTGTATAAGAAAAGTCATTTGCCTTCTGTATTTCACTCAAAATATGATATTTCTTTTTATTTTGTATTAGAAAGTCATTTATCTTTTTACTAGTTCACTTAAAAGTTACTTAATCCAGAAAGTGATATATCCATTAACTTCTTAGTGATGTGATACCCGACTTTTACTCGGAAAAAAAAATCTTTCTTTATGTGCTAAGCAAATACCGATATCTATCCAAAATATGATAAATACTTTGGACATAATTGCTCAAGTAAAAATAGTTAAGAAACATCATCTAAATTGTTATATGGACTTTTAAATATCTTTCACACCATGAATAATGGATACAATCATACTTTAGGAACGCATCTCGTTATGGTTTTGAGAAAAAGGCCAAAATAATCTTTAATATATTGGGGGTTGGAGTATTTTGGTCCTTGATATATATATCACTAGAGAGAAATAGTTCTTAAATGTATACAAAAAGTCAAATTTTTTGGTCCAAGCCTGAAGCCCCTAACATTAACGGTTTTACTCGAAAAATCTATTAAAACTAACCCCACAACCTTTATCTTAACCGTCTTGGACTTGGCCTGGATTCTGTCAACTCCTCCAACTGTTCTTTCTTACCGAAGAACGGGACGACTCACCAAGTTTCAAAGTGAGATAAAAGCACAAAGGGGACAGAATTAGCAGTAGATAAGTAGCTGCAAAAATCATATCTTGGTCTATGATAATGTATAAATCAAACATGGGCAAAGAACAAGATGCAAAATTTTGAGATCGTCACAACAAAACTCAGCTTAAACAATGTGAAGCTCTAAAGACTATCACCATATAATTCAGAAGGATGAAACGAGTCTATGCTCCAGGAACCTCGGGTTCTGCCTCTGCTACTGTCTCATCAGCTGGCCGATCCAACTTCACACCAACATCTTCTGAATAATCACCATGAACCTACAAGAATAACTCGCAAATAACCAAATAGCTGCTGGTATACAATATGAATACAATAGTAAACTATGCATGCGTCCTGTTTAAAGCAATACGACAAAGAACAGACACACAACATACCTCCATCAGCTTGCCAATATCAAACTTGGGGGCCTTGAGGATCTTGACTTTTCGGATATAAACATTTTGTAGGGGGAAGATGCTTGAAGTTGCTTTCTCAATCTCTCTGCCAATTGATTCAGGGATGAATTTGGCAACCAACTCTTCAGGCACATGAACTTGCTTGGTTCCTCATGATCTCAACCATCTTCTACGGATCTAAGACAATATTAAGGTATGGTTGTGAGAATTTGCGCAATATGATAACCATAAGCATATATGTTCATAAGTCAACACCAAGTTGAAGATACTACCAACCTGACGGATCTGGCTGCTCTGAGCATAACAGGTACGCTTCTGCTGGTTTGGACGTTTCTTTGTAAAAGCAATGCAGAACATCCTCAGGGTATAGCTGTCGGTAGTCTTGACATCCACATGGGCCTCAATCAAAGTTTGCCATTTGCGAACCAGTGACCTCAACTTGTCTGTTGTGAAATCCATTCCCTGTATTTACTTTGAAGTTAGAACTCAATCTACAGCAGCAAATGCAAACATATGATTGTCTAAAAGAATCATCCTACCCAGAAGTTTGTGAGGACATTCTTTCCTTGCACATCCTCTGCTCTCAACCTGATCTTTCGGAAAGCCTGATCCTCGTCCTTTTGAAGATCAGCCAGACTTACTTCAAATACTCTATGCTTTAGGCCCTCTGAAGCAATCTGAGAGGGAATTCTATCCTCGATCACTCCTTCGATCGTTCCGGGCGGAATTGCGTTCTGAACCATTGTTCCTTCGATCTGCTGTATATGGTTGATATCGTTCTCTGTTCGACCTTGGCTCCCTGTCGACTAATAGGTTTAAAGTTAANATGACAGCAGCCTCAAGAAGGCTATATTTAGTCATTTGAAGAACTATCAAGCTTTACTTTGTTATCAGTGAGCAGAGTCTATACAATCAGGAATTAGGAAGTATCCAATCCCAGGAAAAAATATCTGTTTTGTTAACTCTGATTAAAGAATAAGTTATTAACTTGTACGTAGATGCCAAAAGGCTTTGTTCTAAAGAGGGAAAGACTAAATAGAAGTATAGCTAGTGAAATGAAATATCAATCGTTAAGAAAACCTTATGAATGAATGTCAGTGAATATTATATAGTTGTATATTACATAGGCAGAGGAGCATCTTCATTAGTACAAAAAAATGCATATAAATCTTGGAGTTTGTACTTATCGTTCTCATGATCTAAGTTATAGTAAAAAGTTATTTTATGAAAACTACATTGAGTTTTAATTGTTACAAGTTACAAATATTTCACTTTTGGATAACTCATCTTGAACATATAACTTTCAAACTTTTTATTAAGTTATGACTTGAAAGAAACAGAATAAATGGCAAAACCTATCACCCGAGTTTACAGATAATTGATTGGTACTAAATTTAGCATGAGATCAAACTTAAGAGGTGAACTCCAAAGTTGCAGGTAAAGAGAGGTAGAAGTCTAGATATTGAGAGATGTATCCACACAGCAAATACGATAGCAGAATACTATTTTTTTCTTCTTTTTTTAATTATTTTTTTCTCAGTTTTTCGTTTTGTTACAATGAGATGAGTCTAGTAAAGTAACAGAAGATATACCTGTAAATACAATTTCCATCAAAGCTCCTCTAGTTTTGCATTGTTTGATATCTCGAACATGGCGCACATAGTGACAACGACAACACTTCTGTGTCAGAAACTTCAGAAGTTAGCATGGCATACGCGACAACCTAAATTTTTTCTCAGAAGGAGCGACGATGGCAACACACAGAAAGAATAGAGGAAAAATGTATTATGATGGACCTGCGCTGGAGTATTTATAGAGGCTCATACTATGTAACCTTTCACGCATCCAGCTGCATATTTTA